TGGTGGGGGGGGGGAGGGGGGAGGCGGGGAGGGGGGGAGGGGGGTAATCTACTCCCAAATCACCTCTAATAGACAACGTAAAGATGTTCTAACCCATGCAATTTCTCTAGGGCATGACATCACCTAATTAATTTTACCTGCCGAGCTGTTTCACTCAACACTGAATTCATTTCATCTCTTCTACTGTGATGCTAAACAAAGAATCGCAAATTTACATTTCCACGAAATTAGCGTGGAAGAAGCAATGTTAAAAGAAGCAAAAAGGGCATCGTGTCGATGTGGAAGGAGGGTCAGAAAGGCTCACCTTTAAGAACATTCGTTTGGCGCGTTGAACCAATTCTTGTTGTCTTCCACCAAGAACGCAGAGACCTTGAAGAAATTAAATGCATTATAACATTTTGTTTTAATTAATCAACCCACCTATTGGAAGAAGTCGCTTAATCGAAGCGACCATTAAACTCGTGAATCCCTTCTTTTGTCCTCTACCTACTATGTATAAGAGAAGAACGCGATTGATTGATTGATTGATGGATAAATTAAGTAGCCTAACTAACTACAAAATGTCAATTCTTACCAGATCTTGCAGCATGAGACCTGGAGCCCATATCAGCAGAAAACGTGCCACGGTCAGAACTTGGCATAATTAAGGCCAGTGTATCCAATTCATGAATACCGACGAAAGTTTCCTCCTCACGTTTGAAGGTCTGTTGAAATAGGAGTCATGAGGGGAAAAGAATCGAACTCACCGGAGATCCATTCCAAATGAGGAATAAGTTAGCAACAGCGTTGAACAAGCGGTCAGTTTCCATGGTTGGCTGTTTGAGCCATTCTGTACGATATCGATCGACAAAGGTGATGAGGAGTGGGTAGAGGGCAAACATGTTGCGTACCAGCAACTCACACGCGGCTGTGAGCTCCCTGCCTTTATCGCCTTCATTACCTGCGAATAGAGCCGAATATGAGTTCAAATCAGCCACTACTCCCACGAGGTCGAATAAAGTAGTAGACTGTCTGAAATGTGGGAAATAAAATTCACTTACCCAATCGCCTCTCCATGTGCTGTACGGCGAAAGCCTGTTCTAGGAGACGTTCTGAGACTGGCAGGAAGTATTTGCCAAGCATGTCAACAGTGGCATTGCCAACAATAGGCTGCGTTCGAGCTAAATGGCCAATAAAGATGTGCTTTGAAGAGGCAATTAAGCGGATACGGATTTGTGATTTTACCCATGCTTAACTTAGCGATTATCCGTTTGGTATCATAGAAATTTCAAATTCCCACCCCCCCCCCCCATCTTTCGTCTATTTAAACAAAATTTCCAATAAGTGGACAAGAGGCCATTTACTTAAGCCTGGGCAAATTCACGAAATCGATTAGTAATAAAATAAAAAAAAGTGCCCACTTACTTGCAATTCTAGTCATCCAAGTGGCATTACAATTGTCAATGTTATTCTGAATGAGGTGCAACACCGAGCCCAGAACTGTGTTCATCAAATCAGCAGTTACAGTGGTGATTGGACCGGTGGCTGCTCCCCATCCTTTCTCCTCATCATCGTCATCATTTTCACCCCCACCTTCTCCACCTTCTACGTCCGCACCTCCGGTTACAGCAATTGTATCGAGTTCATCTCCTTCTATGACTTCTAAAGCGGCGAGGAATTCCTCGTTATCTGGGAAGAAGGAGGCTGCTTTGGAGCCTGGATGACGACGAGCATAGCGCCTCTGAGCCAGATTCTTTCGCCACCAGACTGGAAGGTAGGAGCACAGCATGGGAAGAGTGACTTCGATGAGATGGGGCTCATCAACACAGTTTGATCCTGATTCAGCGAGACGCACAATGTCATCGATGATTTCGTGCAAAAAGGGTAGTGTCTTGCCGATCTTTTGAAGTAGGTCTAAAATAGGCATCAAATGGATAATATAGTCAGCTTCTTGCCATAGAAATTAAAAGTCTATTACCTTCAGTATGGTGAGTAAAAGAGCTAACCTGGTTCCCAAATCAAGTCAGAAGGAATATTGAGTGAATATTACCAGTGCTGTGAGTTATATTACCTCTCCATCATGCATTCGCCTCAGTTCATGTCACCTCTTCTTTCTCTTCATGAGATGATGTGGTGATTTCAATCCTACTGGATGACTACAACTAATAAATGATACTCTTTTTTCGACAGACTCGTTTATGGGCTTCAGTCATTAAACATGCGTCATCGATATGCTGTGCATTGCATAATTCATGAATTTGAACAGCTATGTTATGTTATATATATATATATATATATATATATATATGTTACGTCAAGTTATGCGCTTATTAATGCTATTAAGTTAAGACATTCACCTCGCGCTTCGAAAGAGTAGTCCGCCTCCTCGGTGTTGTAGGCAATCGATCTGGGATTATGGGAGCTCAATTCGGGCTCAAGGAAGGCGACTGGGAAGCAAGTTGTCAGAGCAGCCAAACATTTGCCCAGCATTGGTCGATGCCTATTGACAAATCAATCATAGAAGTCACAATGGAAGCCTTAAAGTCGTACAAAACAACTTTAATGCCTATGCTAAAATACTGACCTATTCAGCTCCTCCATCAATTCATAACGAATTGCATGTTTACGACTGGTCGTACCAAGCACGTAAAGAGCGTTCAGGATTCGATAGCTTGTGACCTGTAGATGACCAAGGAGCAAATCTTCCCCAACACCAGTCTTGCTGATGTGTTCAAACATCGTTTTCAAAGTTGGAAGGAGAATCATGTGAACATAGTCAATACTGCAAGCTCCACGTCGAATTGTGCCCTAAACAAGGGAAATCAAAATGTGATGCTCCTCATGCTTAAGTAGTGAATCATACCTTAGTGTGAGAGTAGCGACCAGAGTTAAGATTTCTGATCAACAGATTGAGGTCATCAGCACAGAAAGCGAAGAACGGCATGAGACGAACTCGAACAAAGTCCTCTGCATAACTGATCTTCACGATGGCCTTAATGTCGAGACATTCGATAAGACATTTAAGGCAGGAGACAGTGACATTGACATCAGCACCGAAGCACTTTGTCTTCAGACGCAGCAGAGTGAAGAGTTTGGTGAAGAGCCTGGGGGGTGAAAATTATTCAATAGACATGAATAGAAGTTACATAGACTGATATGCTCCTTATCGGTGAACTAATACCAGATTGTGGGACAGCTGTATTGATTCTGAACAAACTTAGGCATTCCCTAATTGATCGAGTTAAACTCATCTGACGATTTAATGTCTCTCTTTAGCCACGCGAGTTGACACTGGTGCAGTGTACAGTGCAGCAGTAAAAATAAATGGTGTCGATTACCAACTCATTTAAGTCGTAATGAGGATTAATACCTTTAACTTTATCCATGAAATTCATTCCATTCTATTTCTGCCCTCTTCCGCCTTTTGGAGTATCTTCAACAAATTTCCTCACCTATTTTAGCCTTCGCTACCCATTGTGCAAAATTCTCACCACACCTCGTCAACTATTAAGCACCAATCATAATTTGATCTGCGTGTGCGCATTCTTTTGATTGGTCACCCTACCGTTCTCCGTTAATCTCGTTTACAAACCTCAAATGAGGTATAAAATTGGAGAAACGTCTTCATTCTTACTCCGGTGACGAATAATTGCTGCAAAATTACAGGATCTCAGTTAGCTTATACCCCCTCTATTCTCCATCTTAGATCTGCAACAAGTAAATTCAAAAAGTGTTATTAGGTACGTGTGCGTGTGTGTCATATTGCTCCAATGCATAAGACTATCTTCTAACCCAAGAGGAATTTTTTCCAATAAGTCATAGAGACAAGTCAGAAATGATGCTTTGACTTAAAATGCCAACTACAATAGCTGATTGAGCAAATTCATAGCTGTTATTATTGCCAATTGTTACAATTCGTAATAGTGAGGAGGGGAGCACGATAGACTTACCTCCACATGGTGTACTCTAGGCAGCGTAAACTCATTCGACAAAATAGTCTATAAACCTGGCAGTTGACTTCTCACTACAAACTACCAGGACCTGACTGTGCGTCATATTCAACCACTTACACAGTACTCACCTTACCCTTTTCTCCGCCTTTATGCCTGTCTACCTCTTTTACATCTGTGAATCACTCTCTTCTGCCCCCTCTCTACTTTTTGTGACTTTGGTGTTCCTCCTCTCTGCGAAATAGGAAATCAACTAAAGGGTTAATGACAACTGTCATAAATCCTTCTATTTGTCACAGAGGATGAAGAAAGCAATGAGAAGCTATCTGAGTTGCTCTTGCAGTACAATAGTTATAAAATGAGAAGTAAATGTTGCGAATTTGAAATTTCATGATTCGTCCTCTGGAAACCGACAAGTGCTTGGAAACAAGGAAGGATACGCCGAGGCGTTTAAATTCGTTTTTTAGTCAAATGTTGAAAAACTAATGAGCTGACCCGATATGCCTCAGTTACCGGTTTTAGCATAGCAGATGCGATACCAAGTTCATAGTCCTTGTTTTAAATTTGTATTAGCCACCAATCAAATTTAAAACATTTAAGCACTATATTGAGACAAGAAATAAAGTATCCTATGCCCATGAAAATTAAACAAAAGACTCATATTTCAAGGTCATTTTAGGTCGGTTATAAGTTACAACTAGCCAGAATAGAAACTTCGGGTTGGGGTCATCAGTTAACTGGACACTTAATTGACAACATCAATTGTCAAATGGTTGAAAAAAGCGCAGATATGGATACTTACTAGGCTGAAATTCTATAGTAGCCACAATACACAAATCATGTACTTACATGGTGGCCATTTTCTTTTCTTCAATCGAAGCTCCCGAATATGGGTCGATGAAGTAGGACTTTCGGGTGTAAAAATATCGCTCAAGAAGTGGCAATACAACCTTCACAAGTAATTTCATATCTTCACTGGTCTGCGTAAGGTTTTGGTATCGGCTAAACATGCGACTCGGCTTGTCCTCTCGAACAGTCGACATGGCACCTTCCACGTAGTCGAGAAGCTTCGACAATAGACCATAAGCAAAGCGGCTAGAAGGATGACCTAAAAGGAAATATTTTAAAGCATGAATATTTTAACGAAACAACCAACTAAAAGAGAAGAGCAGAAGAGCGCAATTTAATTAGTCTGACTGTCTCAGAAATGCATACACACACACGCACCTTCACCCCTTTCTCCGACAAGTTGTTTAGTCGCATTGGATGACGCAGCATTGGCTGTCGGAGGAGATCCCGGTGTTGCATTGTTATCTTGTTGCTGATTGGTCGGTTTGCAGGAGAGGCGATAGCCCCAATATTGGAGGTAGCGAATCAATTCATGAGTCAATCTGCGGTAACGTTTACGCTCACGATCAGTAAGGATATCATATGGAACGAGTAGCTGATGAACTCCACCACCTGAAAAGGTAACAAGTGAAGTGGAATTATCGAAAGAATTTTAGAACCAGCTTCGAAACTATGCCAACAGAAGCTCACCAATTTCTTCCAGCTCTTCCAATTTCTGCTTGGCCCAAATTTGATGAGCATTATCAGCCAATCTTTCAGCCAAATCGATAAGTTCTCTAGTTACATTGACACCATGAAGATCTTTTGGAGCTGGAATATAGGTTTGAGGACTTTCCGCTGGCTGAAATTCGAAAAGAGTAGAGTGAAAAGATAAAAATTATGGTAAAAAAGGCATTTGGACAAATGAAAAGTCTTACATTGTGACCGAATTGCCTTCGGCGATATTCAAGCCCAGCACCGTCGTCTTCGTGACAAACCCCAGAGGGATCGATTGTCCACCCCAAAGCTAACATGGCTCGGAGAGTCTCTGTTACTGGTTGAATATATCGCATTTGGTCCTACAGAATGAAAAAAAATTGGTTTACTAATGAGAAAGAAAGGCCATTGTTTAATTGAATTATGATTTAAAATATACCCTTTGGGAGAGTGAATGATAGGGCCGGATGTTAGGATGTGTGCGTCTGGTTTCATCCAAGGTCATTCCGTAGACATATCCCTGATCAACTAACTCTTGTGCCCAGGTATCGTGGCAATGCTTGGCGAACTGATCAACCAGAATACTCAACGCAGCTGGCAACTTGATCTACATTCAATAAATTAATCTGGGGGTTAGAACTGTGACCGACAGATGAGCAAGAAGAGGAGCGGGGGGGGGGAGAGAGTGGGAGGCATGAAACGTACGGTAGAAGTGACCAAAGGCATTGGTCGGAAGCTCTCGTGCTGTTGGTTGGCACCTCGAAGATCTGCCGCACTGTCAGGACCACCTGGGTGCACTGAAACTGAAAATGAATTGTCAAATCGGTTAACGAATGAAAAGGAAGCTGAGAGAAACGTCAAGGCTACAAAGAACCTAGTTCTTTGTAGCCTTGTTAAGGTCGGATTTTGGTTCTGAGTTTCAAAGTTTATCTCCTGTTCCCTGGGTTTCAGCAATGCAATCTACTAGGTTGATATTCCACTTTTATATGCCAACCAATAGAGGGGCAAAATAATCCGGAATTCTCTGGCATTGAGACCAATGTAGTGATCTCAGTTAATGTCGTTTTTTGAAGTGAGACACCTAGGAAAAATGTGTCTTCTCGTCTGCATGTACAATTAAATTATCGCGGACGTCAATAATTGTTCTCTGTGGCTGGTTACAGTGGGGGTGGGGGGATTTGCGAATAAATAGGATTTTATTGAAATACTGCTGTTTCAGTTCTCCTCCGGGTTATAGCCACAGAGGAAGTCTGGACTACTCGCAAGATATGCTTCCATCCGAATGTTCTTTGTTGCTTACCCGCATACGATCCGATCGGAAAAGCTCATTAATTGCCAATCAAGAAGCCGACATTTGCAGGTATACCGTGCACTCAAAGCTCTTTGGACTTTGTGTTGGTGCACTCGATTACTGCAAACAGCGCAGCCCGGCTTCGAAATAAACTCCGCCGAATGGGGAAAATGTACGCTACTTCTCCACTGAACAGGTTGCTTTTGAAAGTTCATTCAACACTAGAATTTCTATTATTATTTTGTATAAGTAATATCAGTTCCCAAGGCTACATTTCTCTTAGTTCATTTCTTTTGAGTCTGTAAATTGCCTAAAATTGCCATTTTTTGCGTAGCTTGGATAAACACTTCGTTCTCCCCCCCCCCCCCCCCCCCCCAANNNNCTTCGTTCCCCCCCCCCCCCCTCCCCCACCAATCACTGCTGTTCGCCAAATCCCGATGACTCATCTGGTCACGTGGAGCACTGCAACTTACAAGTGCATTAGATTGTCAATAATTTGCCAACACCTTTATCTCCTCATTTTACCTTTTTCCGATTTCAAAAAAATTTGCGCTTCTTCAATTACATAAAAAATAATTAGGAACCAACCATCAGCTCCAATAAGATCATTCTCTCCAATTCTTGACTGGGCATCCCAATGCGAGGAACAATAATCCGGTGGCAGAGCACATCCAATAGCCGTCAGACATGGCAATGCATAGACGTATAGCTCAGCATCATATCTCCTGCAGGAGAGATTATTGAAAATTAGACTGAAGAGTTCAGCCGTTAGATTTCTCTCCTCTTCTGTAGCAGTGGCCGTTGTTCCAGCAGCTGCTGGACGGACAAAAGAGGTGTCACTGAGGTCCTTTGCGGTGGAACTCCCTCCAGCACTCTGACCACTAGTTGGCTTTGAAGCAGCACCAGTGCTTGCCACACCTCCAGCTACACCCGAACTATCTGGTCCACTGCTGGCGTATTCGGCAGTCCAGCCTTCCGAACTATAGTATGCTCCGAAGCGTTGGTAGAATGTTGTCAAGACACGAAGTGACACAACAGACTAAAATGAGGGAATATAGACTAGACAGGAACTACTTCCATTTAGCCATATAATAACCGCTCAATAGTAAACACGTAATTCTACAAGTTATACACCCTCATATATCCTAGTTGTGGTGTAACTTAACAATAGAGCACATTTTAGAAAATATTAGATATACCTCACGGCCTACAGTTCGCATATTCTTGGCAATCTTTCTGATTAAGCTTGTCATGGAGAAGGGTTGGATGTGTTCAACCAGAGCAACAAGGAAACCACTGACGACGTCACGTTGATTATTAGTAATCGATCGACAAGTGGCTAGACGATAAGCGGTGTGGAGGGTGGACTCAAGTAGACCAGCTGTTACCTCATTGACAGCAAGGAAGTGAGCGTAGCGGGTGAGAAGGGGTAACACCGATCCGCAAATGTATCGATTTAGTGCCAAGGTCATGTCGCTAGCTGTTACACCACGTTGAGCCTGAATTAAAGGTCGTAGTCTGAGAAGTGAATGCGAAAAAAAATTCAAATCTCCCAAAGTACCACTTACGGAATCAAGTAATGTGACAGCACGCATGTCAGGTAGGAAGGCGTTTTCAAGGAGACGCACGAAAGTGTCAGGATCAGAGAGGCCGTATACCCGTTCCATGAAGAGAACGACGGCTGCCTTATGTTCAGGGAGTAAACCTGGGGGCATTGGTGACTTATCAACCCATTGTTCCAGCCCCTCAGCATTCAGCTACAATTCGAATAGAATACGAAATTTATCAGCATTTCAAGCCTGTGCGCCAATTTCCTTATCAATATAGAAAGGACAAACGTGCCTGCATCTCAAGTTTAGGCGGAGGAAGAATGAATCTCAGGGAGAGAACACCTTCCAAATCTTGCATTGTAACAAGTGACTGAAGGATAGCTCGGCCTCTCACAGATTCGCTCTTTGAAGCATCTAACTCAGGTGCACAACGACCAAGGAGATCAACAAGTACCGAGTAGAAGGTGAGGATGGCTGCACCGAGATCAACGTAGTCTTCATCTTCTTCGGGCTGAAATACGCCAGAATACAAAAAAACAATTTCGACACCACACCTCGATGGTAATGTTAGCATTCCCTTGAACACGAAGGACATACCGGAAGATTGCTGAAATTGTAAGGCAACGGAGCAAACAGATTGCAGTCTTCATAATCCATCAGTACCGTTCGCCATCCCATATCCTCATCTTCCGGATTCAAGCCTTGGGCTTCAGCGTCCATGGCCATTTTGACGAGTTTAATTTGAGCAGACATAATGATGCCTTCCTTGATACCTATTCCCCCAAAAAAAGGAAAGCTGAGAAGCAAATACTTAACGCAACCTTCAATTCAACAAAGACCGTATTAGATATGCTATGCATATATATTGGTAAGTTGGGTATATAGAAACTACATCGTATGGCAAAGTTCTGCATAACAATAGATTTTGCACTTAGCTCTGGTCTTGCTATGACTCCTCCTACTATTCGCACAATACGGATATTCAATTACGACTCCAAGGTAAATGTGAAATAAATTACTTAGATTGTTCTATCTAACACCCTTCGAAAGTGTATGAATTAAATCGATTCCCATTAACCAGGGCAAAATGACTTTGAAATAGTCATTACTTGTTCTTATTACTCAATTTACCTTTTAGTAAACCACCTCCAGCTGAGGAAGATGATACATTGGCCTGAGATGCTGTAGTCGAGTGAGCATCATCAGCACCACCTCCTACAGTACTTCCAGAACTATTCACACCACCAGAACCACCTGTTATTTCAGGACTTCCAGGAGGGGAGAGCTGGTCCAGACCTTCTTGTGTGGTTCCCGCGGCGCCACCAGACCCTGATTGGCCTACTGTCTGCGAATTCAGACGCTGACGACGCGAGGAATGGGTCTTCGTTCCACCTCGTAAAGCTGGACCCAAGCACTCTGGACGACGGATTAGCAGACGAACAACTAGATTAGCATTCTCTTCCACGCTCTCACCTGGAGAGTAGCAAAAAAGTAAAATTTCATATTCATTTGGTTATGGATGGCAAGGTAGTTAGACTAACCATTGACCCAGACAGTGAATCGAAGGAAGTCTAGGAAACGTTCACCTTCGACGGGATCCCACCCGATGTCCGGGTATCCCTTGGTGAGTAACTCTGCATTGGATTGTACACCACATCTAGAGAGGTAGACTGCGACCTTCTCCAGTTGCTTTTCGCGCAAAGCGAGAGCTAATTCGTTGTTATCCATTAGGGAGGAGTAGGCGACATCCAATGGACAGATGCCTCGCAAGCTTGGACGAGCTGGGATACGAACATTTTTCAATAAGTAATCATAGGCGTGGCTCGAGCATCAATTAAAAAAGAGGGCAAAGCAAAAATGCAAGAAATACGAAAAGCATTTGGATTTTAGGTTATGCAGAAGGTCTGCTTGCCGCCTTTTCGTCATTTACTCACTAGATTTGTTCGTAATTTCTCGTTAATGCACTAGCCTTGTGTGAAATGACTAAATTTGGCCTTTATGGAGAAATAGTGCCATCTCTTTACATTAGCCTTTTTGTCTCTGATTTTGAGCAGTAGTTGTGTGTTAAAAGGTTTGTGTCGGTACGTAGGAAAGCTAAGTAGAGGATTCAGAATGGTCAGAGCCCTCCCTAAAGGCAATATCCATCACCATCGTAAAAACTGTCTGTGTAGGTATATTCGATACCTCACCTGAACTTTTTCGTGCGAAAATTTAAGGAGTTATTTTCACGATTGAAGACAGCCCCAATGATCATTTCAAGCTATGCTACAACACCACAGTCTAAAGCTCCCACTGAGCCGTTGTCCATATCACATAAACAAACAAGGAGAGCATTGGGGTCACATCAACCATGTCACGTGATGAGAGCCAATCATGAGGCCAGTGCAAATAAATTCATTCTACCCCCCTCCCCCCCTCTCCTCCTCCTCCTCCTCCTCCTTGTCATGCTCATTGGGCTAATTTAATTATTACTAAATTCTGCACGAAGCCCAAGGAAATAAAATGATTGCAGTTTTATCCTCCATATCATCACCTTTTGATGAGCATGGAGGAAGTGGCTATACAAATGAAAAGTAACGATAAATCGCATAAATCCTTGAATAATTTGGGCGTGATATCTTAATTTACTCTAGAAATCAAAGTTCTGCTAAGCGAATACATTAAGAACCAAAATCGAGTGGCAATAACTAATAAAAGTAGAAGTGAATATGTATCTATTACTTACCTAGAAGCATGGAAGAGTTCTCGAGCATGTAGCTCAAGTGGTCAAACATGGCCTTTTGATTCTGCCAAGAAGTTCGACAGAAGTAGCAGAGGAAACGACAACATTGAACAACCATTTCCGTCGGACCCACTGTCACATTACGACCCACATTCGAGCCTACTAGACAAAAGCATGCGCTATTAGTGTAAATATGCACTCGAAGAAACTACGCTAAATGCAAATTCAGACGAAGGAGTCGTCTTCAGGACTCGTCACGACCATAGGAATTAAAGCCGCTGGCACTCAGACTGAAGGATGAGTCAAAGTGGCAAGTCATTCCGTTGACAATAGAATTGCTTATACAGGGTTTAATAGATGGACGATGATTGGCTGTCTGATTAGCCAATAATTGCAGTGCCGCTTTTCCATTGGTTGTCTTACCTATTTAGATGTAAGGGTAGAAAACCAATCGAAATGGTAATCCTGTGCATTGATGATGAAGATTCCGAGGGTAGCACAAATATTCGATTGGAGGTCCTAATTGTAATCATCTTATTTAGTCGTACATGAGAATATATTTATTTTCACCTTGAACGAATCTGGGGTGTGGGATAGACTTACCTCCTCGTGGTGCACCCTGGTCAACGTATACTCATATGACTAAAAAGTGTATAAACCGGCAGTTGAATTCTGACTTCAAGCTATCATGGCCTACTGCAAGTCATATTCGACCATTATCGCAGTACTCATCTTACCCTTTCTGAGCGTTTGTGTCTGTCTGCTTCTTTTAAATCTGTGAATCACTCTTCTGTTCCTCCTCTCGAAATCTTTTCACTTTGATGTTCCTCCGCCGCTCTGCGAAGTTCGAAGTTAACTAAAGGGCTAATGATAACTATCAAATCACCTGCCATTTGAAATAAATAAATAAATAAATAAATAACATTTAACGAATCTAACTGCTTAATACTATTCTAAAATTTTGTTAATTGCCACATTACCTTCCCCTTATCAATACGGTATTATAATGGGTCTAGATAGCATAATTAGCTGCACGATTAAATAATCAAGTCAAGTTGCACCAAATACCACGCATATGAACTCGTCTAGTAACTTAGAGGGTCATATCACCTAGATTCTAACCCACGTGCTTCATTGTCTGCTTATTCTGATTTCGCCTTCAGTTTCATTATTTATTTAGCAGTTTTGCTTGAACATCAGCAAAATTTACAAACCATTTGTTTATTTCATAATAATAATGGATAATGGATAATGTAATTGTACCGTTTAGTGTCGTTTCTTCTCCTTCCTCCACGACCGCAGGTAGAATTGAGCCACCAGTAGAACCTTGCCTGCGTCTATGAGTAACCTCTGCATTCGGGGAGACAGAGCGCGGACGCTGGAGATCTGAAGTGGTGGAATTCACTGCAGTTACGGTGGCGGCAGCAGTTGCAGCGGCAAGTGAGGGTGAGTCGAGGGAGGCTTTGGAAAGTGTGTGCACCATCAGCTGCATAACTGTCTCGTGGACAGCTAACACTCGAATCAGGTCGGGATGTTGGAAGAAGACGTTATTATTCATTATGTCCCTAAAGAGGAGAAAAGAGCAACGAATCAATACTTCTGCTGTCTTTTAATAAGGCAGATCACTACGACGTTTGACAACCCCCTTTCATCTCCGTAGTAAATAGTTTGCGTGTGGATCGACCATTTACTCCTTGAACAATATCATTAAGTCAACCACGAAGTAATCCTTTTGCTAAACTTTAAGAGTTCAAATCTCTTCAAATTAGTTGGCATGCTTATCAATCTCAGCTATTTTGCTTCTTCTTCTTCTTTTAGCTGCAATTTTGAAACTGTACCTGTTTAGTTCATTAGGTTAGAATAGGTAAAGCGAAAATTAAAAAAAAACTTACCAAAGACAATTCTTCAAGAGCACTTCTTCATTCGCCCCAACTTGAACTCCGAGAAGACATCTAATTCGGCCGAGAGAACGTAGAAGTCTTGAGACATCCTCTTTGGATCGATTTCCGATAGCATATGTTCGTGTCAGTCCTTGACGAAGCTGTAAGTGGACAATAATTTAGTAAAACGGAACGTCTAAAACGATGGGAACTGTGATTGCATTTTCTATTTCGAACCTCGTCGAGAGCTCCATACTGACGGAAGAGAAGGAAGAACATCTGTCGGATTAATTCCACATCCTCGATTATTGAGCTTCTTGCCCAGTCACAGACCGTCTCCAGGATTAATTGGTGAAGTTTTCCTAGAAGGAGAATGATACGATTCTATAGCACTAAGAGATAATTTCTAACTTAAGGTCTTTAGTTAGTTCTCACTTCCACGCAGATGTACAGACTCGGGTCCACCTAAGGCCAATTGCCTGGATGTTCCATTTTCACCAAGATTTCCATCTTTATCAGATCCGTTGGATCCAGAGACAAGGTTCCAGATGGCTTTGACAGCTGAAGGGGGCCCAGCGGCACCTGATTCCGGATCACCAACACCTTCAGGAAGCAAAAGCGTTGGGATATTCAGCAGTTCTGTCAACTCAGATTGAGTTTGCTCTGAATTCGAGTTGATACTGGTCTGATCTCCAGAGATAGTTGTGGTGGTTGCATAATTTGATGGAGTGCTTGGAATGACAGTTGCTGAAGAAGTGACTGTGTTTGAAGTACTGCTGCCAGGAGTCGAACCTAGTTGTTTGAGACCAGCTGCGGCAGCTTCTTGGAGCAATCTAATGGCTCCTTCGAAGTCCCAAGTGTCTTCAATTTCAGGTTTTACCACACCGAGATGATTCATTAGGCGATGGTGGAATAAACGCATGAGGTCCTAATAACGAGATCAAATAATTGATCAAAATGCGAGGAAATTCAGACAGGATACTTATTATTGACCTCTAAATTAAGATATTTAGCCTTTAAAATAAAGCTATCTTTGATTGAGTTATTATTTCAAAGGCAGCCAATTCTTGGCCAGACATGTTGAATGAAACAATGTCATTAATGAACCCCAAATATCATTTCCTTTTTGAGTTCTAAATAATCCCGACCACAAATCTGACCCTGAATACGCCAGGAAGACATTACCAACTACATTTCCCACAAAAAACACCTGCAAGGCTATTGAATGCAATTCTGAAATATGTTTTTTTACATCAAGCGCTTTCAGTTCACAGTCGCCAATTTTGGCTAAAAAATTCAAAATTGGACAGGAAACAAACTGTGAAGGCGACATGTTGGAGCTTCAATTGAATCAACTCCTCGACTAACTATGGTGGAATTAGCACAACAAGACTCTCATGCTTAAGGCCAGTTGTGTAATCACACATGAAGCAAATTGAATGGGGCGGAAATTTGGCTCCTGCCGTATTAATTCACCCATCTAAACAAAGAGGGGTGGAGGAACATGTGCATTTTCACCATTGTCTTGACAGCAAACAATTCGTTCCTTTATGGATTGATATCAAACACATAATTTGAATATAAATAACATTTTGTTGTTTTAAAAATATGCGACTTCTTATTGGTTCTTCAACCCCCCACCCCCATCAATTCAAAAGACTGCCTCTCCGAACACCTTGACAGCTATTCGAGATGGAAACTTTTATCACCTGGAGTGGCTTTGACTTCAAAGCGACTGGAGAGGGGCGCATTTTCATTTTGCCTCTCTCTCTCTCTCTCTCTCTGAATACGCGTTACATAAATCATAGTGATATCAAGTGGCATAACAATAACAGCATCGGAAACTAGATTTTTAGCATTATATCAGTGTAGTACAGAGAAAACTTTAGAAAAGTAAGTTCTCCATTTAACTGCTCAACTTGCCTTAATATCCTCCGCACAAGGATTTTTGGAGCACCCATCAACCACTAGAGCATCAGCACCGTCAACAAGCTCTAGCGCAGAGAGTGCTTCAACCTCACTTGACGATCCAACCTCTTCCAGAAGACCCGAGGGCCCTCCTGGACCAGGCATGTAGAGGAGATTGCGGATTTGCACATTCGGTGGGCATCGAAACTCCCGAGTTCGTGGAGCGGCAACAGCTGAGGGCAGATTTGCGGATTTGATTGCCATGTAGCGTTGCATTTGATCCTATTGATGGAGGGAAATTGAAAGCGAAAAAATTATCGCTAATTTTTCTGAAATTTTGCACTGGAAGAAAGCTCATTATTCAATTCTATGATTAGAAGCTGCTTGTGTTGCCAATCAGATTATAATAATTACGATGATGATGAACACATTTAATTTATCATTTCTAATCATTTTACAATGACAAATGATAAATACCTAAAGGCCCCCCAATAGACGGTGGATTTTTCAATTCTTTACAAAATTTCTAAGTGATCCAAACTTCTGTATGTAAAAATTGAGGCTAAAATGCCTCATTTCACTTCTAGCACGATTTCAGCCAACCCCCCCTCCCCCACTACAATTTTACCAAATCTCCCAGGGGTCTCCTACAACAACTCAAGACCAGGCGGTCAACGATGACACAAAATTGCATCTATCCATTAGGGTAAGATTGAAAGAAACTACTATCACGCATGCTATGGAATGTTGTTTGCCTGAAATCGACCAATCATAAGCTGGCTCAAATTCCACCGCAGAAAAGCAGCAATAAGTACAGATACACTATCAGATTGAACACCAGAAAAACCAACCAACCAACCAACCAAAATAGGGGTATGCGATAGACTTATCTCCACGTGGTGCACCCAGGGCAACGTATACTCATACGGCATAAAAGTCTATTAAATGGTAGTTGACTTCTGACTTCAAACTAAAAGTCTATTAAATGGTAGTTGACTTCTGACTTCATGCTATCATCACCCCACTGTATGTCATATTCGACTTCTTCCACAGTACTCACCTCACCCTTTTTCCACCTTTGTGTCTGTCTATTACGGCTCTGAAACACTCTTCTGTTCCCCCTCCTCTCAAATTTCTTTTCACTTTGAAGTTTCTTACCCTTTGTGAAAGGGCCAATGCTAACTATCAAAACGCTTTCCATTTAATAGAAATAAATATCTCCAATTTCAATTTAAGTTCCTCCCTTAGCGTGCATTTTCATTGAACAAAGTATCCCAATTGGCTCCAACTAATAGTAACTAAGCTGTCACTAATCATAAATATATGCGATTGTTGAATGAAATAGTTAAATACTCTAATTATCAG